CTCTCCCCTCTCCCCTCTCCCCTCTCCCCTCTCCCCTCTCCTCTCTCCCCTCCTCCCCTCTCCCCTCTCCCCTCTCCCCTCTCTCTCTCTCTCTCTTTTTACCTAAGATACTCCTTTAAAAAGGGGGCAACTTTCTCCAGGAAGCTCTTCTAGGATGCTAACTCAGTTGGCTTCCCATGTAGCTTTGTAAAACATTCTGAACTGCTTCCCCTTAAAAGTATTCATTGTGTAATTGCCCGTTTGTTGTTTCCTTGGTTGAAAATGTAAACTCTCTGAGAACAGAGACATTGTATCTAACGCCATGCAGAGAATGCCAAGTAGTGGCTACATTCACAGGTTGGTGGAAGAATGAATGGGCTGCCTTTATTTAACTTGAAGTGTAAAATAAGTCTGATGAGAGGAGTCGTTTGTTTTTGTTTTTTTTTTTAAAGATTTATTTATTTATTATATATGAATACACTGTAGCTGTCTTCAGACACACCAGAAGAGGGCATCAGATCTCATTACAGATGGTTGTGAGCCACCATGTGGTTGCTGGGATTTGAACTCAGGACCTCTGGAAGTGCAGTCAGTGCTCTTAACCACTGAGCCATCTCTCCAGCCCGTCGTTTGTTTTAAATGACACCAAATTACAAAATTTCAGAAATACCAGGTTGCCTTCTTGGGAAAGTGTATTTCATGAAATAAAGTGGAAGCACAGGAAGAAAAAAAAATAAGCAGTCGTCCAATAAACCAGACCCATCAAAGTGGACTCAGCATAGACGACAGAAATCCTAGGGAAGCAGGGCTTAAGAACTGATGCAGAAGCATTCATTCTTAGCTTGGCTTTTAGGGCTGGGAATGGAGGGAGGTGAAGTCGGTTCCGCAATCCTTGCCTTTAAACCTACAAACGAATCGGAATTGCACCGAGTGAGGCAAGCAGTGATAAAGAAGGCACACCATTGTTAGGAAATATCTCAGTGAGGAAGTGAGTAGGAGGAATGGAAGGCTGTGGGAAGGACTGGGTGGTCAGGGAAGCCTTTCCGGTTTAAGCTGAGAGCTGGACGATGACTCGAAGACCTGGCCGGGTGGACGAACTAAAAAGTTCAAGAGCCCGGATTTGAGAGCCCAGATCTAAACGACTCAAGGGCACCTTGGCCGGACCTGGCGTGTGATGACCCCTAGGGTGATGGCTGTCCGCTTTGGGACCGTTCCTCGGGCCAGGCGATCACGTCTCATATTCCATCCCATCACAGCGGGGTCTGATCCCAAAGCTCGCACCATCCCACCTCGGGATTCCCGGAACGCTGAGCTGGGTCTCTGCGGACACGGAAACAGGCCCAGTCCGGCCCGCCGTCGACTCCGCCCACCGCGGTCACGTGACGCGGAGTGTGACGTAGGAGGAAGGAGACGCCATTAGAGGGAGGAGAGGGAGCTCTCCCCTAGCCTCGGGTCCCTGACGTGGTGGCCGGGGCCCTTCATTCTGGGACTTTCTCGCAGGCCTCACCCGCGGGAGGACGCGGCGGGGAACCGGGCTCGGCGCGGGGCGTGAGAGAGCCGGGCCCGGGAGGAGCGGGCGCCGCGGCGGCGGTGGTGCGGGGCTCGGCGCGGCGCTGGGATCCGGCGGCGGGGCAGCGGCGGGATGGCTGCGGCCGGCGGCGGGGCGGCGGCGGGCCGAGCCTACTCGTTCAAGGTGGTGCTGCTCGGGGAAGGCTGCGTGGGGAAGACGTCGCTGGTGCTGCGCTACTGCGAGAACAAGTTCAACGACAAGCACATCACCACCCTGCAGGTGCAGACCCCGGGGAGCCGGGCTGGGGACCCGCGCCCGCTCCTCTGCCTCTGGCCTGTCAACCCCCCCACTCCCTGCCTTCCCCATTGCCTTCTGCAATTGCTTTGGGGACACGCGGGACCCCGCAGCCTGTAGATGTCAAGACCCACAGTGGGGAGGGGAAAGGACCCGGAAAAGTCCCCAGGTCCCGGTGGAGGCTGCGCAGGTCGGGGAGTCCCCCAGTCTGTGGGCTGGTTTTCCCCTTTGAGGGCGTCTGCTGGGGCCATCAGGTGTTTTCACTCTCTGCTCTCCGGGCATCAGCCCCTTCTTCTTTCCTTGCGAAGTAGGAACACTTAGATGCGGATTAGAATTTGCGAACGAGGTGGTTTGTAACTTGGGAGCGGACTGATGACTAAGTGTTTATTGCAAGTTCCATTTTGTCCTGTTTTCAAAGTAAATGGAGTGGTAAAACACAGGTCGTTGGAGGGTTTTTCTTGTTTGTTTGTTTTGTTTTGTTTTGTTTTTTTGAAACGACCGCTTGCTGCTTGCCGGTTACGCAGTTTCTTTGCAGTCTTCTTGGGTCCAGACGTGTGGCTCATTTATTCTTTGAGGTTTGATCTATCCACATTAAAAACTTCATGTTGCATAGTGGCCAGCGGTTGGCCTTCAAAACTAAAAATTCTAGGCACTGCTGCTACACGTTTTCTTTACTGTCATGCCATAAAACGCTGGCTTGCTTCTACAGTTGGAAGAGTGTCAAAGTGTTACAGTGTAATTGAAAGTGAAACCAGGAAAAATCAGTTTGCATGCGTTAGAAGAAATTATCTATCAACGTATCTTGATCAGACTGTCCAGAGGCTAAAAAGGCTAGTGGGCTTGAGTTTGCTCGTCTGGATTCGTATACGACCCCCATTTATTTCTATAGCCCTGTGATCTTAGGTAAATTGCTTAACCTGCGTTTCCTTGGGATTCTACTACTACTGTACCCATAGCTATTAGGTCTAGTGCACAGAGTTGTCAAGGTAAATATGGAAACGCACTTAGCACCTGAAGTGGGGTAAACACTGTTATTACGCTCCGACTTGTAACAATAGATCTTAATTAACACAGAAGCTACTGGAATGCATAATCTAATGGGTGTGACGTTTGAAGTCGGGTCTATTATTAAACGACTGAGTGTAGCGTGTACAGGGATGCTCCAGTTCTGAGTCCATGCTTTATTTTTACTCCTCTGTTTTCAGTTCCCTCTAAAGCATAACACCTAGAGAAGTCAATGTCAGGTGATTAACGCCCAAGTGAATGATACACAGATCCCGCGCTCAGGCCTGGCTAGATTTTGAGCCGTTATGGCTCACTGCCTCGAGATTAATAAACAACCCATTTTACACTTCTCTTTGTTCTACACTGGAAGAGAGAAGAAAAAGGTATTACAGCTGGAAGCTTAACTGGAAAATTAATTTAGCTCTTCAACCTAGAAATGACACTGTGGAGTCCAGTGTGGCACCCATCCTTAATCCCAGGACTCAGGAGGCAGAGCAAGCTGATCCCTGAGTTGGAGGCCAACTTGATCCACATAGCAAGTTCCAGACTCAGTGCGACCCCGTCCCAAAAGAACACACAAGACAGTTGTGTTTAGATTATATATTTCTTAAGATGTCCTTAGTGCTAAAAGTGATGAAAGATTGAAGTCTGTGGAAGAAGCCAGTGTGACCCACACAGGGAAGTGAGCCTTGATGGGTCTCAGTACCAACAGCATCACAGCTTAGACTTTTATGTAACTTGGTGTAAACAGTCTGAGGATTACATTACAGAAGCGAAGGCCTTGGTTTTTACTAACACATGGAAAATACTCTCTGAGTCCTTCCTTGTGGGTAGTAGTTCACCACCTCATCCTCAACACTCTTCCCAAAGATGTTCTATTTGTATCGTTTGTAAGACACAACCTCATGTTGCTTTAATTTCCACAAGGAGGGTATTCTGCACCACAGGCCAAGGAGGAATCTTTCACAAACTACTTATCCTTTTAAAGGGCTTTGTGTTTCAAGTACTTTGAAGTTCTGTGTTTAAAATATTCCTAGAGTACTTTGTTTTCAAAACACTTTCAAAGTGTACATGAAACAAAAGAACATGCAGGACAGAAACCATAGATAGTTAGTGGTTCACTCTTCTCAGTCATGTGTTGATTCACACCCCCACCCCCACGCCTTTTAAACATCTTGGAGGTCGCAGACTGGGATTATAGCCGGGCCCTTAACCTGCCAAAGGCACTGGGTTCATTTGAAGGTGAAATGAACTGATATCACTGGAAACAGAAGACTTACTATGCCTGGAGCTGGTCCATGTCCCTTTATGTCTAGTGTCAAACAAGTTTTTCTCTTTGTAGAGCCAGAATCTGTTTTAGTCTCAGTCCTGTCCTCTGGAACTTTGGTCTCATATGACATTCCTTGAGATGGCTCTCTCATGACTCCTGAGTCTTAGTAAACAGCTCTGGTGCTTTAATTGGCTCTCTAGTGGCTTTACGATTGGTGTCAGGCCACCAGCAGCCAGCCTGCCTTCTTGTTCTTTGTTTCTGTTGTTGCATAAGCTGGCCTAAGACTCATGATCCTCCTGCCTCAGTCTCCAGAGTGGCTAGAATTACGGGTGTCCACCCTCCTGCCCTGCTAATGTCCTCCTTTCTTAAAGTGGGATGCTCTGAGCTGTAGAAATGACCATGACTCCAGGCTGGTTTGGACTGAGCAGAGAGGCGCAGGTACTCACTTCCCCCTCTGACACTGAAATAGTAAAGATTCTGTGAGTTTCTGGGGAAGTTGTGGCATTGGTTACTACTGGGTTTGTTGTCAACTAAGTCTTAATTTATCTTAGATGCTTCAAGAAGCTCATATCTCCTTCAGCTTCTCAATTCTTTGACTTTGTAATAAAGCTTTTTTTTTCTCAACATGCTTGACCTGTTAAAGTTGGCTTTGATCTGTACCAGTGTTTAATGCTTGCCAATTTTATTTTACTATTTTTTAAGGATGGAAACGTTTTAGTTCATACTTTAGTGGGACAGTCATGGCAGGGGACATGGCAAGAGGAACTTGAGGAAGCAGCTGGTCACATCCCATCTGCTGCCAGAAGCTGACAAAAATGAATTGTTAATATCCTTTTAAGTCTTGATTTGACACTCCCCCCCGCCCCACACACAACATTGGGCCCATTTAGGCCAGTTCTCTGTGCTGGAGTCTGAGAAGAAGAAAGATGTGGAACCTACTGTCTGGGTTAGCTGCTTTTTAAATTTCCTTACTTGATTTGGTTAGAAGACCTTCAATGTTCTCTTCGGTTCACAAAGACTTTGAAAAGCGGTGGGGGTGGGGAGGAGAGCCAACATAAAGCTCAGTAGCAAGCTCCAGTGTCTGGTGATGCCTGGCCAGAGATTAGATTTTCTTTGGCTGTGCAGTGTTTTAGGGTTGGATTATTTCAGAACATCCATGATCCCCTCCTCTTGAGTGGAAAACAGTCGCTAATGGAGTCATCCGTTCGGGGCTGCTACATACAGTAGACACAAGTCCTTTAGTGAGACTGCGCCAGTTATTCCAGCCTTGATGCTCGCCTACCTCAGAGCATTAGCCTTGCCCAGAAGGACTGTCATGAGACAGTCAGATGAAGATAACAAATACACCCCCTTCTATCAGGAAGTCCTGTGATAACGGTGATAAGAAGTTACAGAACTGAAGTTAGACTGAGTTACAGAATGGTCGTGGTTGTGTAAGTTGGCCCACCGATAAAATGGGAATGCGTTTTTCATAGTTCTAATGTGGGTTACATGGCAGACAGAGTCTTAAACACTGGTTCTGGGGATGGAGTCAGGGCTGTATTAAGTTACAGCCTCATCTCTGATCCATGTTCATTTAATAAACGTTGAATGTTGCATGCTGTTGAATGAAAAATCACATAATCACATACATAATATATTTTTCTTTGATGACAACTCAGAAAAGTGAATGGATACCAGAAAAGTGATTTGACTTGGATTATGTTGAGAAGTTGTCTTTAAGGAGTCACTCCATTTATAGGATCTGGGACAGGGCTTTGGTCGAGCATGAGATCCTGAGTTTAGATCCTAACACTTCCATGGCACATGCCTATAACCCCAGTGCTGGAGCCCTGACACCAGAGGCTCTCTGGGGCTTGCTGGACAGCTAGTCTAGCTGAATTAGTAATCTCCAGGCTCAGTGGGAGACCCTGCCTCAAAAAGTAAGGTAAAGGGAGGCAGGGGACAGCTCTGGTGTTAAGACCACTTTCTGGCTTTGCAAGAGGATGGGAGTTCAGACCCAGTACCCATGTCGGCTGTCTCACAACTGTCTGCAACCCAGCTCCAAGGCATCTGCACCCTCTCCTGGCCTCCATGGGCACCTTCGCCATCAGAGCCGATTATGGTGGCACACGTCTGATCTCAGCGTTCTAGAGGCTGAGAGGCTGAGGCAGGAAGATTGTGAGTTCTAAGCCAGCCTGGGCATTAAATGAGAATCAATATCTCTCTGCCTCTGTGTGTGTCTCTGTTTCTCTGATTCTCTCTCTCTCTCTCTCTCTCTCTCTCTCTCTCTTTCTCTCTTTTTCACACACACACACACACACATTAGGAATATAGCTCATTGGTGTAAATTAATTGCTTTGTACACACAAGTTCTGGCTTTCATCCCCACATAAACCAGGCATGATATCACATGCCTGTAATTCCAGCACTGGGAAGGGTGGAGATCAGAAGTTCAAGGCCATCCTCAGCTACACAGGAAGATTGAGGCCAATCCAGACTACAGACTGTTTCTCAACAATATTAGATTGATTGAAAAGAAATATATGTTTTAAATTTTAAAAGTATTTTCATTCTAAACTTTTTACTGGGATTGACATATGTAGAATTCAGGGATTTGTTTGTTCTGGTTTGTTTGTTTGTTTGTTTTTTAACCATGGTAGGAGCCATGCTGTAGTGTCTTAGTGTTGCTGTTTCCAGAGCTGCTCCTGGGTTACTTAGAGTTGTAGAG